ATCGCCCCTCTGAGAAGATCTTTGTAAGAGAATAAAAACAGAATCAGAAGATTAAAAATGACACTTTTTTTTCACCTTGTTTTAATCATCCGCCAGTGTCAGTATGAGCAATAGCAATAGTTATGCATAGCAAGCACTAATAAGCATCCTGACTGGTTTAGGAAATGAAACCGCATGAGATTAGTGTTTTGTTCTCAGATTGAAAGTGTACATCTGTTTGCGTGAGCGACTGTGTGAAAGTGAGGGTTTGTGGTTTAGTTGTTGATTCAGTCTTTTAGCTGCCGGTTGAACAGCTCGACTGTTTGACCTTACAACACCTGGTTCTCTTTCTCTCTTTCTTTTTTCAGTTTAGTTCTCCCAGTATAATATTGAACTTAAGAGATTGCACTTGCATGCTTTGCATTTGATGTGTTCATACAGAGAAAGCAAATTCATTTCCATTGAAAGCAATATTTACCCTCTAGATTTTTTTTTTTTACATTTATGAGTGCATAATTTAGTATAGGCCAATAAAACATACTATGTGTCACTACTGTTCAAACGTTTCGGGTCATATCTTATGCTCACTGAGGCTGTACACACACACACTATACACAATATTTATATTCAAAATAAATGAAAAAGAGAAATGTTGCCTAAATGTATTTTACATTTATTTTATTTTAAGTAACAAATTGTTTTATTTAACTATAACCCTTGAACTTTTAAGTGTGATTTAGGTGTCCAAATAGGTTTTTGTGCCACTGTACCTGATTGTGATATGCAAATCTGAGGTTTCTGGGTAATGATGTCTGGGCTATGGTTTCCTTCCACCCGTGAAAGTCTGGCTCACACCGATCTTTAACATGATGGTTGTGTCTCACATCCACTTTCTGCTCCTCAGTTTGTTCAGTGATGCTCTCGTTTGCCGTGGTTGTGTGTGTTTTTGATGGCATAATCAAACCGAGTGGAGGTAACACCTGTGAATGACAAAAAATGATACACATGATGATCAATGTAAGATAAAACGTTCTGTATTTCCGATGCAGTTGTGTTCTGGTTGCTACTTGATTTAATGGAATAGTTCACCAAAATTTAAAATATTCTGAAAAATTACTTGCAGGCCATCTTGTCACATGATCCTTCAGAAATCATTCTAATATGCTGATTGGCTGCTCAAGAAACATTTCTGATTATTGTCAGTGTTGTAAACAGTTATTTTGTGTAAATCAGGATACTTTGATTAATGTAAAGTTCAAAAGAAGAGCATTTATTTAAAATAGAAATATTTGGTAACATTATAAATGTATTTACTCACACTTTTCATCAATTTAATGAATCCTTGCTGAATAAAAGTATTAATTTCTTAAAAAAAACCCTACTGACTCTAAACTTTTAAATGGTAGTGTAAATTCTCAGTCTAAATAAGTATTTATTGCATATTTCCTATTGTATACACCTGTAAAAATACTTTTTTTTACATTTTTGATTGTATAAGACATATCTATAATATTACAGTATGAATTTATAGTTTTATAAATGTTTAATATTTTAGAATTTTGAGGCCATTTTCCCCCCACAAATTTCTAACCTTGAGAAAACGAACGTATACATCAGAAATATTGACTGAATGTGACGTGTGAAATTCAATGGTACTGCAAATGCATCAGAATGATCTATTAAGGTTTTCTGGAAACACTGCTCTCTCTTTGTGTGTGTGTGTGTGTGTGTGTGTGTGCGCTCCTGTCAGCCACTTCCTTGCTGAGTCAGTGTGTGAGACACGAGTGTGTAGCTTTACTGGCACATGTAAGCGGGGAGCAGTGCGTCAGAGAAACCCAACACGAGCGCACACACCCCTGAAGCATGACTGGTAAATATGAACCCCAATGACTCAAAATGGTTTTCGATCTCTCGCACACACACACACACACACAAACACGCTTCTTATCTTTCTCACATCTGCTGACGTACCATCCAGATGTGTTTTCCGTTGATATTTGCAAGCAAATGTTCAGGGTGAAGATGTTCTCCAAGCAGCGGGCCGAAGTGGGTACCTGCAGGAATGACCTCTGTGGTGAAAACCCCCAGCACCTTCTGATGACACACCATTCGAAAATAATAATTAAAAAAAACGTTGTGTTTGTGGTTAAGACAACAAAGAGCCTCTTTATATGTAAAATTGCTTTGTGAACACTGAAATATGAAGCAATTTTGTGCATGAGCATATAAGTGTAACTTTTAATAAATTGATTTTTAGTGGATGTATGACGTCAGTTCACCTCAGGTTCACACATTAATCTTAGCAGTGGAGAAATGTAGCATTGCATCACTTGCTCACCAATGGATGCTCTGCAGTGAATGGGTGCCGTCAGAATGAGAGTCCAAACAGCTGATAAAAACATCACAATAATCCACAAGTAATCCACACCACTCCAGTCCATCAGTTAACATCTTGTGAAGCAAAAATCTGCATGTCGGTTACAAATAAATCCATCATAAAGACGTTTCTAACTTAAAACCATTGCTTCTGGCTTAAAAGCTTCCTTCAGTGAAACATTTTTCCACTCACATCAAAATGCACCAAAATATGTTAAGAAGTGTTTTGGCTGCAGTGCTTGATCTGTGCATATTTCTCTCCTGATTCAGAGGAGATTGCTATTTGACTGAAGGAAGCATAATTATTGATTATGGATTCATACTTTGGCTAGAAGCAACATTTTGTAGTTAAACACCTTAATATTGGATTTGTTTCTTACAAACATGCAGCTTTTCACTTCAAAAGATATTGATGGACTGGAGGTGTGCGGAATTTTTTTTTTTTTTTAATCAGCTGTTTGGACTCTCATTCTGACGGCACCCATTCACTGCAGAGCATCCATTGGTGAGCAAGTGATGCAATGCTAAATTTCACCATATATACCTTCTGATGACACACCATTCGAAAATAATAATTAAAAAAAACGTTGTGTTTGTGGTTAAGACAACAAAGAGCCTCTTTATATGTAAAATTGCTTTGTGAACACTGAAATATGAAGCAATTTTGTGCATGAGCATATAAGTGTAACTTTTAATAAATTGATTTTTAGTGGATGTATGACGTCAGTTCACCTCAGGTTCACACATTAATCTTAGCAGACTAGTTCATCACATTACTACACGCTAAATTTCACCATATATATTCTGATGAAGAAACAAACTCATCTACATCTTAGATGGCCTGAGGGGGAATACATTTTCAGCAAATTTTTATTTTTGGGTGGACTATTCCTTTAATTATTAATTATAATTAACTGAGGAATCAATTGACAAAATGAGCAACTGAAAAGACAAAACACAAATGAGATCCTTTTAGCAAAATGAAATCAAATGCATATTTTTCAACATCTCAAACTTTGCAATCAAAAGCAAAAAACATGAGCTCATTTGCATTCATTTTATGGCTCTATACTTTTACTGTACCGTGTGTCACCAGTTGTTTTATTTGTATATTTTATTCTCCTAAGGAGTTTTACAGGCATCTGAGACAAAGTTGATAATTATATGAAACCTTAGCTACAAATGAGAAACTACTGAGCAATAGAATTGTACTCAGGGAATGCAATCATTCTTCTTGATCTTTTTTTTTATTGCAATAAGACCAAAAGCACACGTTTGACAGGTCCACGACATGTCAGACTGATATGGGAATTCAAAGTAACAAAGCAGTAAGAATGAAACTTAACACCAGAGCAGTTCTCACTCACACACAGAGCTGTGACCACAACACACACTCAACATCTGACCTGAAGAGGTTTCCTTCAGCCTGAGCTTCAGCTGATTCACATGCTCCATACCCTACAGACCAAATGCATGTTCAAATAGAGTAAAAAGCACTTACTGTGGCTTATGTTGAGTCAGTGTGAGCTTCTGTCCAGCCGTCTGTAGGAGGAGGTTGCAGTCAAGCTCTCGGTCTCTGTTTCTCTTGAATGTGTAGAAACTTGCGTTTTCATTCAGACATCATCTGAAGACAAACTCCACCCTGATGTCTTCCTCCACCCCTCTGAGTCTTTTTCTCTCTTTGAATGTGCATTTCGCAGAATCTCACATGGTCTCTATGTGACAGCTCAGAAATGTCAGTTTTGATATCTGTTACTAATCAATGCTGAATAATGGAAAAAAAACCTCACATTATTTAAATGTATTAATTCAGCTGATACTTTCAAATGAAACAAAACCAGGATCCTGTATTGGCAGTTATGTTAAGTTTTTGTCTTCTTCTGATGAATAAGACACATAAACTGAATAAACTTTTGTAAGCAGACTTACATTATTCTGATATCTTCTGATTTTCTATATATCTGATACTTTCATTTCTGTGTTGCAAGAACAAAATATTTTAAGTATACAAACATGGCTTAAAAATGAATAAATGAACGAACAAACGAATGAATGAATGGATGGGTGGATAAATAAATAAATAGGACTAAATAAATAAATGATAGTGCTTTACAAGAGAAATAAATAAATAAATAAATAAAAATGAGGTAATTTACTCACCTTCATGAGAGGGATGAGGGGATGGTTATTGTCAAGCTCCAAACAGCACATAAAAGTACCATAAAAGAAGCCATATAATATTTCTTGTGCGTTATTTCAAGTCTTTCGAATTAATTCGTATTTTTCATTTCGCATTCACTCAAGATCTTGCACCCGCGACGTTGTTTGTTTATACACGCGCTGTGCAGCGATCTCCATAAAGTAGGCCTACATAAAAGAGAAGAAATGAAAATGCGCAAAAAATGACATTGAATAAAATTAAAATGCAATAAAATTTAATTGTAGGCCTATGGATTGCATATAAACATAATTAACAAGATAATAATCACCACTTACAGTGCAGTCAGTGAAAGACTGGCTTATTAATATTCAGAATGAACGTAGCAGAACCTAATTAATATTCATGATGCGTGATCACGGCCCGGCGTGTTTTTGAGGGAACAGCAGAGGGCGCTGTGCGGATTCCGGCGCTCTTTCCAGCAGCGCGTTTGTCTTTGTACGGAGTCTTTGACTGTTGATTCCGGACTTTGTGCTGCGGCTCTCAAACACACTAAGCTCTCCAACAACACTCATAACATTATTTCATCTGTTCAACAGCTCGCAAAGATCTCTGAATAATGGCTTTCCAGTATCCAAACGCCCATAAGGACGAATCAGTGGTGAGTGACTGAATAACTGAATAATAGAGAGAAAAAGGACATGAATGAATAGATGGAAGGATGAATGAGAGAAGATAGATGAAGGAAGGAATGGTGAAATAAGTGAATAGATGAATGTATGAATGAATGGCTGAAAGATGTATGAATGAATGGCTATATATATATATATGGTATATATATATAAAACTAACCATGGTGTGTGTGTATGTATGTATGTATGTATGTATGTATGTGTATGTATATATATATATAATTACTATAACTAAAACCATAAAAAGTTTTTGTTAAATGAAATACATTTGAACTGAAGTGAATAAAATATGGGGGAAAAAAACCATTTCAGCCACATTTCTCATTTTTATTTATTTGAATCAAAGTCCCTTTATTCTATATAGTAGGGTATTCTATAGTCTTTGGTTGAACTTGATGTACTAAAATAACTACAACAAATTGAAAAACTACGGTTGCATGAGTGACGAATGGATAAAATATATAATTGCATAAAGGAATGGGTGAATAGATGATTGAGTACGGGAAGAATGGCTGAAATTATAAATGAATCCATGAGAGAATTAAGGATGAATAAGTAAATGAACCCATAAGAGACTGAATTAATGGATAAAAAAGAAAGAAAGAAATGGAGGTCCTGGTTGTTTATCTGAGAAATTCTCTAAATGTTTCTTTAGAGATTGTGTGAATGTATGTATATACTAAGATTGTATTCTATAAGACATGTTTATGTTCTTGAAAGAAATTGATACATTTAAGCATTATTAATGCTGTCAAACTGTTTCAAACACTCTTCCTGTCTGCCATTGGACGATCAAACAGATAGTCCCGCCCCAAACCCACCGCATTGGTTGAGTCAGTGTTGCGGAGTCAACTTCCACCTGTACTATGATGTGATCATGTTGCCATAGTGACCCCACTGCTCATGTGATGCATGTGTATATGTGTTATCAGGTGGATGACTATCATGGCTGTAAAGTTCGTGACCCGTACAGCTGGCTGGAGGATCCTGACAGTGAAAAAACACAGGTGATCTCCACACGACGCTTCCTCTGAAAGAGCATGTGAATTATGATTCTGTATAACTGAGATACGACTCTGTATGCGTGATGTTTTTGTGTCCGTCAGGCATTTGTGAACGCTCAGAATCAGCTGACCCTGCCGTTCCTGGAGCAGTGTGAGATCAGAGACATCTTTAAGGACCGTATGACTGAACTCTATGACTACCCCAAATACAGCTGCCCCTTCAAACGCGGGAACAGGTGAGACGCCAACGAACACTGATAATAACGAATGAAATTAGTGTTTAGAGTAATGTGCTTCGAATGGAAGACTATGCACTGCAACCGAATAAACTATCAAATGCACACTGTTCCAAAGGCATCAGATGTCCCTTGAACTGAGATGATGTTTTGCATCTTCTGATAGTTTCTCCAAGCTTTTGTTTTTTATTTGTGAGCACATGCACTACCAGTCAAAAGTTTGGAATAGTTAAGATTTTTTTTTTAATGTTTTTGAAAGAATTCTGATATGTCCACCAAAGCTGCATTTATTTGATAAAAAAAACAGTAAAAACAGTAATATTGTGAAATATTTTTACAATTTAAAATAACTGTTTTCTATTTGAATATATTTTAAAATGTAATTTATTGCTGTGATCAAAGCTGAATTTTCAGCCGCATCATTACTCCAGTCTTCAGTGTCACGTGATCCTTCAGAAATCATTCTAATATGCTGATTTGCTGCTTAGTTATCGAGTATTATTGATTCTCAATTATTAATAATGGTTATTATTATTAGCAATGATGAAAACAGTTGTGCTGCTTAATAATTTTGTGGAAACTGATACATTTTTTTTTCAAGATTCTTTGATGAATGGAAAGTTCAAAAGAATAGTTATTTTATTTTTTTATTTATTTTATTTTATTTTATTTTACATATCCCCACCTTTTAAATGGTAATATATCACTATTATCCCCACCTTTTAAATGGTAATATATCACTATTTCCACAAAACTGTTAAGCAGCACAAATCTTTTCAACATTGATAATAATCAGAAATGTTTCTTGAGCAGCAAATCAGCATATTAGAATGATTTCTGAAGGATCATGTGACACTGAAGACTGGAGTAATGATGCTGAAAATTCAGCTTTGATCACAGGAATAAATATATTCAAGTTGAAAACAGTTATTTTAAAAGTGCAATAATATTTCACAATATTACTGTTTTTTTTAAACAAATAAAATAAAAGCAGCCTTGGTGAACAGAAGAGATGTCTTTCAAAAACATTTAAAAAAATGTTATTATTCCAAACTGTTGACAGGAAGTGTATGTGTGTATGTTTTCTGAAGTACTGCAATAATAAACACGTTTTTTTTTTGTAACCCTCTCCTGAAGGTATTTTCACTTTTACAACACTGGTCTGCAGAACCAGAGTGTTTTGTACATGCAGAAGAACCTCGAAGCTGAGCCCAGTGTGTTCCTGGACCCAAACAGCTTCTCAGAGGACGGGACGGTTGCTTTACGAGGTGCTGGATGTTTCTGTGTTTGTTTGATGCTGTATTGAGCGTCAGCTAAGGCTTGCTGTTTAATCTCAGGTTATGCGTTCTCTGAGGATGGCGAGTACCTGGCGTACGGCACCAGCGCCAGCGGCTCTGACTGGGTTGAGATCCGGTTCTTGCGTGTGGACGGCGCCGTACTTCTGGAGGACCGACTGGAGAGGGTCAAATTCACCTGCATGTCCTGGACTCACGACGGAAAGGGACTGTTCTATAACTCTTATCCTGTGCAGGAGGGCAAGAGTGACGGTAAACACACACAAACACGCACGATGCGCAAATTCACACATGCAGGTATAAGAGTGTTAGGTATTTACACCCTATATTAGTATTTATTACTATTTTATATTAGCACGTATTTTTATATTTTCAGTTTTCAATCTCATTTTAAGCTTTGGTATTTTTATTTATTTATTTATTTTTCATTTTTATTAGTTCTTTAAAAAAAATTATTTAGTTTTTAAAAATATTTATAGCTTTTAGCTTTAATTTATTTTTACTTCAATTTTGTTTTAATGATCTTAGCACTTTAACCTAAATTTTTGTTTACGTTTTTCATCTAATATGTCTATATTATAATTTATTTCAGCTTTTTACATTTTATTTCAATTGTTTAGCTTTGGGTAAAACGCAGCGCTTGTCACTGTCACTTTTTACCCAGCCGTCCAATCAATGGAGGAGGGGCGGGACAAATACGAGGCTACACCGACCAATCATCCTACTTGTACAACAACTGAACAACAATAGAGAAGTTAACATTTGTGGTTACTGCATTTTTATATTCAGTAATATTCTTCAAAATGAGATACTAGTAATGCGTTACTGCCGTAGATATTCCAAATTATAGCAATCAAAGCGTCTCAGCTGGAAAAACGCTGTGCCGCCAAAACGTCCTGCAGCACCACCAGCTGGCCGTTTTCAGAAGACCGGCTGACATTTTTTCAACTGGCTAAAAACACTTTGGTGGACACACGTTATTGAATATTTATTGTTAGGCATATGGCCTATTAGTCTTTTTTGCATTTATGCAATATACTGCCAAACCTGAGAAAGTAGACCAGAATATTCAGCTGCGTTCCTGGACATGGAATTTGCGTAGCTGTAATTCATAGGCGGGGATTATGGTAATTGTGAATGAGCGTGCATGAGCGCCCTATTTACGAATCATTGGAATTCATTAACATACGCATGTTTAACTATCAAATCAGAAGTTTACGAAGTGTTTGTGAATCCGGAGGAGAGTTTTCGGGAAGGTCCGTTTTACGCGCAAATTACTCAGAATTTACTCCTATATTTACGAATGTTTCATGAATGAGGCCCATTGCACCCATTATTTTTTGAAGACACTGAAAACACTGCGAGCATCACGCACGCTTCAGTATGTGTGTAGTAAACAAAACCACGCGTCTGTGCCATTCATTCGTTCAACCGCAGAACATGCAGGATTCATATTCAAATAGTATTTTTGTGGCTTAATATTCACAGGCACTAGTCTATGTCGCGTTTTGTTCCAAGTGTACTGACCTACTCTTGATTTATCCATCCAAAATTTGGCAAATTCCATGACATTCCACATTAAATAGTAGGCTGAATTCCGCTTTTATGATAGTAGGCTAAATTTGTTTTCTGCATCGCGGAATTGATCACTGTTTGTAAAGAAATATAAAGTAAATATGTGTAAATATATCAGTATTTCCCCAAAATATGCCCACTTCTGGACGAAAAGCCATAATGGATGTTATTCAGTAACGTTTGCACGTGACTGCCTGAGTTTTGTTGACAGCCAGAGGTGGCAGAAAATTTTATGGAGGCGGCCGCCTCATAATTTTTTGTGCAGAAAAAACCCTTATATATACAGTGGTGTGAAAAAGTGTTGATATATAAATTTGGGTTAATTTTTATACTTTTAAATAATTCAAATATTTTAAATATTGAAAAAACTGAACCATATTTTCTCTTATATTTCTCACATCTCTCTCTTTCAGTGTTTGCTACCTGCACATACTCCAGGTTCCTGTTTGTGTGTTTCCTCCATGACGTGAAGAACGTGCTGAAGATGTTCCATCTGTCCTCGGGGGAGGAGATACGCACGTTTCCGCTTGATGTCGGCTCGATTGTGGGCTTCACTGGGAGGAAGAAAGACTCCGAGATCTTTTACAGCTTCACCTCGTTTCTCTCTCCAGGTCCGTCAAGATTCAGAAGCTTCTGAAATGAAGAACTTTGTTCCTTAAAGGGACAGTTCGACCAAAAATTAAAATTCTGTTATTGTTTATTCACCCTCAATTCGTTCCAAATGAGTTTCTTTCTTCTGAAAGAATATATTTTAAAGAAGGCTGGTAAACAGTTGACGGTAGCCATTGACTTGCATAGTATGGAAAACATACTATGGAAATAAATGGGTACCGTCCTCTGTTTGGTTACCAACAATATTCAAAATATCTTCTTTTGTGTTCAGTAGAAGAAAGAAACTCATACAGGTTTGGACCAACATGAGGGTGAATAAATGATGACAACATTTTCCTTTTTGGGTGTACTGTCCCTTTAATAACTCGTATACAGCAATCAGGTAATGTTGTAACGGGTGTATTGAATGACATATGTTGTGTTTTCCTGCAGCGATCATCTATCACTGTGATCTGACTAAAGAGCCGCTGCAGCCGCACATCTTCAGAGAGGTCACGGTGAAGGGCTTCAGTCCTGCTGACTATCAGACCACTCAGGTACAGCAACACGCTTGCAGACACTTCATCTGTCTGTCTGCGGTACGATCGCCTTCACTGCGTGTCTGCTTGTTTCTTACAGGTCTTTTATCCCAGTAAAGACGGCACCCAGATCCCAATGTTTATTGTCCATAAGAAAGGAATCAAGCTGGATGGTTCACATCCTGCCTTCCTGTACGGATACGGAGGTTTCAACATTTCCATCACACCCAGCTACAGGTACAATACAAAGCAAACACAGAAACATACAGCTGATCACACACTCCACTGATGCAGTACTGATCTTTGACACGCATCCCGTTCTTGTAAGCATCTGTCTCTCGTTGTTTGTGTTTCAGTGTCTCTCGGCTGATATTCGTCAGGCATCTGGGAGGGGTTTTAGCTGTTGCCAATATCAGAGGAGGTGGAGAATATGGAGAGACGTGGCATAAAGGCATGTGACTTTAATTCTGGAGCTGCACGGATGTTCATAATAGAATACTAGCAAATTGTGTGCCATTTATTTATGGCTTCCATTTTTTTTAAATAGTACAGTAGCTTAGGGGTGAGTAAGATTTTTTTTGTCAGTTTTTTTTTTTTTGCCAAGGCTATTTTACATCCGTAGTCCCTGGACAAGATGTTACAAGTCACCCTAAAAGAAAATTTAATTAAAAATACATACTAGAAAATTTTATAATTACATAGTACAAATCATACAGTAGTCTATTAAAAACAATAGGATAAAAAAAAATGCAAACAAGATACAAACAATAATAGGATAGCTAGCAAATATAAAATTCTAGTGTTGACAAATCGGAGTACTAATTAACCAATTCTTCAATTGAACCCTAAATAAAGCATATGTGTCTAGATCTCTTATAGTTGTCGGAATAGTATTTCATTCTCTTGCAGCTTTGACAGAAAAAGCAGACTGACTTAAAATTACTTTGTCTAAGCGGTATGATACAGTCTCCTCTTAATGCACCTCTTGTAGAACGATAATCAGTTGTTCTAATACTAACTAACTGACCAAGAGGGGGAGAAGATAAACCATAAATAATTGTATACATCAAGCATACATTTGCATGCTTAATAATGTTTTCCCAACTTAACAAATTATATTTTTTCAGTATTGGACAATGATGATAATGTACCGATTTCTTATCGAACACTTTAAGTGTATGTTTGTATAAGGACTCTAATGGTTTTAGAGTCACTGAACTCACCTGAGACCAGGTGGTTAAACAGTAAGTCATGT